CCCCCCCCCCCCCCCCCCCACACACACACACACACACACACCGGGTTGTTGTGGGGTTCAGGGCCCGCTGAAAGTGTTTTGGAGGACGAACGCTGTCATTTGGTACGGTTCAGCCCTATAAATCAGCTAGTCAAAATACTACTTCCAGGAGGGGAATATTAGTGTGATTTTTTAATAAACCGAAGGGGGGTCAGGACCACCCTGACCCCCCTTCTAAATCCGCCACTGGTCTCACCTATCTAAGGTACCCGTGTCCGCCCACTCACACACTCACACACACACACACACACACACACACACACACACGCACGCATTCACGCACGCACACATACAACAGCCAACAGTCAGACAGACAGGCAAGCAGAGAGAGAGAGAGAGAGAGAGAGAGAGAGAGAGAGAGAGAGAGAGAGAGAGAGAATGGCTAAACTTGGTTATTTCATTAAGAAGTAGAATTTTATTATTGCTGTATGTAATACAATACGGTAGGCCTACACATCTTGAAATCATTTGACAGCGCATGTCAACAGGAGGGCAGCGATTGCGAAATACAATCACCTTATTCTAGGGGCTAAGGCCTTGACTTGTTTATAAAACGATTCCCCTCAACAACCATTTTCACTTTACGGAGGCGTTTTTAAGGCAGTTGACCCAGAAACCCCGTAAAAGTGATCTGCTTTAAAAAGCTTCGCGGTTTGTTTTACACTCCAAGTGCAGTAACAGTGGCAGACAGGACATACAGAAAATTAATAACACATGTGAGTGTGACACAAGACTTATTTTGGTAGTTTCTTGTGTACATGCCTATACATGTATATCTGATTTGTCGGAGTGGACTTTGTCCTGTTGTGCAAGAGTTTACGGGTAAAACCACGGTATATAAAGGCAGCCACCCTAAGAAAATAAGAAAACGAACTCGTGCCGGGGCCAGTCGAAAACCATGCATCTTTTAGCAGCGTGGATACTGCTCCTTGCCGCTGGCTCAGTCTTCACAGGTAAGTCTGTATTAAATAGTTGTATCTATTTAAAATGTACTGATATTACGTACGATTCATAGTGGTGGTGAAAACTTAGAACAACGCAGTTCATACAAGGTCAAATATATATCTCACATAATGTTGTTTCTTAAGTAATTATTTTTTGACAACTAAAACTAACTGATAGCCACTTTACTGTACCTCTATATCCTGACGTATAATAAACAAACTGGTCTGTAGAGAAAAAAAAATAAATAAACATTTTTTACTTGTACCCGCTTTGTTCTCTCAGGCTGCGACATGACATTTAACCAACATCAAAATTTGACTCCTGAGATGATTTTTTTTCTGGCCAAAAAGGCGTTTTTCTAGCAAAAGACCCAACCCTGTTCCATGTAACCCCCCTACATTGTATACGGCCTGACTCATGAAGTACAAATATATATTATTTTAAAAAAAGTGCCAAGGTACGCTATAATTGTTGGCATTACTGAATCCGGTTGGAAGAAAACTAGGGGGGATTAATAAAGAGGAGCACATCCGGATTTTTTGTCCCCGTGAAAGATATTTTCCATTTCCCGAGATGCGAAAAATGTTCATTTTCATTTAGCGAGATCCTTGAAGTACCTCGCACCGTGCCCCGTTTATATATTTTCTAAAAATTATCCCTCGTTGTCCTTGAAATGAAGTCATTATACTCGATTATTCGTGATTTCCAACTCATTTGTCCTAAATTTTCCACGAGAAGTTTTATTTCCTGTGATCTACGAATTGATTAATTTATTTCCTGTTAATTATAATCCCCCCCCCACTAGCGCCCTCCATAAAGCAGAACTGCCATAGTATTACTATGAGCGGGAACATGCCAGTGAGAAGAAAGAGCGTAGTTCTATAGGATATCGCATCATTTAATCTTCTAGTCGTATATTCAATATTTCTGTCGTACCTGGTGAAAAGGCATAAATAATAATAATAATAATAATAATAACACAACTATGAAAAAAATCAGTTACAGATTTTGAGGACATCCGTAAAATTCCATTAATACTAAGATAATATGAATGATAAGTTATGAATTATTTTACATTTAACATTTTAACTGCCGAACTTTTAATGATTTTAGACTTTAAATAAATATCAGAATTGTTTTTTTTTATTATTGTTCTATTTAGATCGTTGCCTGTATCTCATTTCAGATGTCTCGCCATGTGATCAGTGGGGTGCCTGCAGCCAGCAGTGCTCACAGACGTCACTGGGTTACACGTGCTCTTGTTACCATGGTTACATTTTAGACCCGGATGGCTGGACTTGCAAGCCAGAAGGTAGTTCCGGATGTTTTTTTTTTTTTTTTTTTTTTTGATAGTTCTCATGGAATAACCATCAGTTTTGTCAACGTGTGAGGGTGGTTAGAGCAAAACTAAAAAAAAATAAATTAATTAATTAATTAAATAAAAAAAAAAAAACGTATGTAATACAACATTTACAGCCAACCTAGTCCTTTTTGGTGGTTTGGTATTTAAACAGAATTTATTATTTTGTAATTGACATCAGCTTTATTTTGCACGCTTCAATAGCTGTATCAATTTCACACAACGTAGTACATTGTTTCTCTTTCAACAAGATCTTTTCATGTCCTCCCTGGGCTAAATAAAAAAGAAAAGGTCACAAGTAACAACATCTAGAAAATAAATAAATACTGGGTAATATAGCCGCACCGGATAAAACCCATTTCCATTGTTGCCTGGATACAAAGTTAATATATTTTGCAATACTGAAATATCTGTCACATGTTATACATTTAACACTTCAGGTACGGAAAGACCGTATATATTGTATACGCTCCGTCATGAGATAAGACTAGTGGACTTGGATGGACAGGCGTCGGTTGCTCTGGACAGACTGAGAAACACTGTGTCCCTGGATTACTACGATAAGAACAGAACCATATTCTGGTCGGACGTCATGGAGGATAAAATATACAGAGGAGTCATGGACGCCAACCGTAAGTACAACTACATTAGTTTATATGCGCCGCAGCCTCGTGCTTTCAGTATTTCATTAGCAATCAAAAGTAATTGTGGATATTAAAGACGCATGCAAAGCGAGAGATGAATCCCTGTTGAACATATAAATCGCTACTATCAGTCTCCTACTGAAGACATATAAGGTGTATGCATGTTCAAAAAGATTAACCAAATTGTTCACTCGGTTGGCAAAAGTACTACTTAAACACTGCATCTTCTTGAAATATCTGGTCGTGAACTTGTCCTGTTAATTCGTCTTGGCAGTTCGTAAAACTCCGCCAAATGACGTAGTAATGCAGAAGGTATTAGGTAAGGTTTTGCGTGTGCTTCTTATTCAAACGAGATACGAGTTGAAAATATTTGTCGGGTTTAGAGGCAGTTATTTGACTGGCCTGTTGGCTCTGTATGCTACTTGAAAGGACGAGTAAAAACATTACTTCTTGCAGTGACAAATTTTTGTTGCTTTTCTTGAATAACCCCTAGAAATTCGAACATTTATACTTTTGTCACCAAGCGTCGTTAATGTGGTAACCTAGTTGGCGAAGGGTAGTATTTCTATTATTATTATTATTAGTATTATTATTATTATTATTATTATTATTATTATCGTCGTTGTTGTTGTTGTTGGTGGTGGTGATGATACTGGTGGTGATGTTGCTACTGTTGTTGCTGTGCCTGATGTTGTTGTAAATGGTACAGTTTTTAAACTTCAGGACTTCAGGTAAAACACCCTCCATCTGATTTCAGACATAACCGATATTCAAGAGGTCGTTAGTGTTGGCCTGATAAGACCAGAGGGTATTGCTGTCGACTGGATAGTAGAGAACATCTACTGGGTGGACAGCAATCAACGCCAGATAGAGGTCGCCACCATGCAAGGCAAGCTCAGGTCGACGCTTGTAGCTGGGAAGATTAAGCAACCCAGAGCCATTGCTGTAGATCCCAGTGCTGGGTAAGCTGGTGACATTTTAAATGACCTTAAATTTGATTATTTTATAACGTTCTATTGAAATAAAATACGTCACCTGAAAAAAGAAAATTTACAATTAATTAGATATAATTAGAAATATCTGATTTAAGCCATATGTAATATGCGATAAAGACCTATAATTCCTGTATTGTTTGAATGATTGATTTATTATTATTATTATTATTATTATTATTATTATTATTATTATTATTGACAAACAATTGCATTCAAACATTTCAGTCTATTATTCTGGACAGACTGGGAGAAGAACAATCCTCGTATTGAGAGCTGTTCTATGAGTGGACATGGCCGGGCAGTCGTGGTCAACATCACTCTGATGGACAGTGAAGGGGCGTGGCCAAATGGACTGACCCTGGACTATGACTTAAGGAGAGTTTACTGGGTGGATGCCAGGTACGGGCATGTTGTGCTGCTCTTTGTGTGGACACACACACACACACACACACGCACGCACACACACACACACACACACGCACACATTAGGATACCGGTATTTTAGAGTATACGCAGATTGGTTACGTGTCCTGCGCTGAGGAGCACGGAGGGGTGTTTAATGAACTTTAAGAATGTCACAAAAGGCAGCACTTGTCACTGAGCAACTTTTCACAAGTTTCCACAGACTCACCATTGCCCAGGAAAACTTTGTCACAAATTATTTTGACCCGAATCTTTGAAACTAAAAACTGTAACACGTAACTCAAACTGGCTGCTTTTCCATTTTTGTGAGTTTATTGCCTGAGAAGCGAAAACCCCTCATGCGAACCAACATGCATATTTGATTGGAATTTGCAGACACGTGGATAAAAAGTAGACGACCTTGAACGGTTGACTACAAGGCATCTGTTTACTGGAACTGATAGGACTACAGGCTATTTGGGGTTGAGGTCAGAGAGTCCAACATGTCAGCAAAACAGCTATGCAAACAAATGTTAAATAGCAGGCCTTGTAAACGGAAAAGAGCTATCGCCAAATTGACCATTCAAGCCGCGATAATGACAAGCAAAAGTAAAAATACTTGCTGCGCACACAGCGGTGCGAATGAAATCAATTCATCTTCCCGTCTGGTGCGTTTTAAATTAGAATAATGATCAAATTAGTGCAATTCATGTATTAATACACGTATTAATATTAAGGCTTGCATGGGTAGTACACTGTATATTTTAATATCACACTTATAATAAATATCATTCTTTAAAAAGAATGATATTTATTATAAGTGTGATATGTTCTTAGGTCTTAAAATCTAATTCTAATTATAAAGATGTGCAAAGATGGGCATGAAAGTAATAACAAAACTGTCAAACCGTACTACTGTCTAGGTCGGACACCATCAGCACGGTACGGTATGACGGAAGCGACTACAGGGTCGTGTTGAGGAACCATCGTCTGCTCTCACATCCCTTCGCCATTGCTGTGTTTGGCTCCAATGTGTACTGGACTGATTGGAGAACCAACTCGCTCATGGAGGTAGTTTTTGAAATACGTTGTGTAGACATGTTCATAATTGTGGCAGTGTTGGAAATCGTTGCTAATATGTATATATTATTGGGAAACATCTCGCTTTTACATATTTGTATGTATACTGTATATATAATGATTTGCTTATTTCGTGGGGACTTCGGTATATGGTGAAGTGCACATGGCAGTTTTGAAAAAAGTTCAAAAAAGTTCAAATGCATGTACTATTTATCGTTGAGAAACATGTCGCTTTTTATATATTTTACATATATATTTATTTGTACGTCATTTTTGCGCTGAGATGCGTCTTCCCTGTGGGGACTTTGGCATATGGTGAGATATGCGTATATGTGTTGCCTCTTTTTTTAGGCAAATAAATTTAATGGCAGCAGCGTCCGTGTGGTCCAGAGAACTTATGCACAGCCCTTTGACCTTAAAGTCTTCCACTCTAAGAGGCAGGCCCAGAGTAAGGGGTTCTCTCTTTATAAAAGTCGCACATGTGTCTTAATAAAAGAAAACAACAGAAAACTCCTTGTCATGATTAGAGATATATTCAATAAGCGTATTAATTTAATGCTCGTTTCATTTTTTACCTATATAGCTGGAAATATTGTGAAATAGTTAAAAAGTTAGTCTTTTAGTCGGGAACTTAACGCAAAACGCTGTTTTATGTCTGTATGTTTTTAAAATACCAGTCTACTGGAATTTTAGTTTTTCTTAATTAAATATTTGACGTGGTTATATTATCCAGTGAAGAACCCGTGTGGTGAAAACAATGGCGGCTGTTCTCACCTCTGTCTGCTGGGTTTCAATGGCACAGCGGACTGCACATGTCCTTACTTCCATGTCTTACTGTCAGACAGGAAAACATGCGCCCGTAAGTAGACTGTTCTTGTAAATATAATTTGTTAAGGTCATTTTGTAGTTTTGTTCTTACGAGATCCATGTTAGCTAAAGCTAGCTTGTCAGGGACGAATGGATCAAGGCCGTTTTCTGGGTCTTTCAAAGGACGGTCAGATTTTCAAGTAAACATTGACGGGTATCTATTTTTGCTGTCGGAATAAAATGGAGGATAAAATGGAGGATGTATCAACAAAGTTAATTTTGAAAACTACCAGAAATTATCTGGACCCGCCCCTGCCTGTAGTATATAATTAACTCCAAACTGGTTGAGATTTAATTATGGCGTACCAGGAAGTTTGACTAGCTCAAAAGACAGCTTGTCCATTGTTCTCCTCTTTCAGTCAACAGTACATTCCTGCTCTACGCACGTCACTATGAAATCCGTGGATTGGACTTAAACAACACCGACTTTGACGCCATGCCGACCATGTCGTCCCCTCACGTGGAGATCCCTAAAGCAATGGACATCGACCCTGTGTCCGGCATGTATTACTGGACAGACAGCCGTCATGGCACCATAAAAAGAGCTCGTATTATTGATGGGACGGACATTGAAACGGTCGTGAACACAGGTAATGTCTAACTGGTCTTTGCCTTTTGGTTTGGTAGGCGGTGTAACGGGAATGAAGTCCGCTAGGTACCGTACTTCACTTCCCATAACTTTGTACAGGTGACATTCGTCCCATATACTAACCCAAATACTCCAACTAACCTGTACTCAGTGGCGGCTTTAGAGGGGGATCAGAGGGGTCCTGACCCTCTTTTAAAGACCAAAGATTTCCGGGCCCTCAAGCGGCCCCGAACCCCACGTCAAGCGGGGGGTGGGGGGTGGGGTGGGGGGCTTGCATTTGGGGACCCCCCACCCTCCTTGAAATAATCCCGGACCCGCCCCTGCCTTTACATGTACTTATCTTATGGGAGCCCGAACGTCCATTCCAGGTACACCAGTGTAACGTGACCCGTGTAACGCTTCTCATTTATTTGTTCGTATACAAGTAAGCCTCGCCCTAGATTTTGATCCACTTAGGTCAGGCTAACTCTAACCATTATAACTAAAGGGAGGGTTGACTGTGTGTAACACGGACCTTCAGTTTCGTTACACCGGCACCCCTAGCATATATGCCAGAACACCTCGAGAGTCAGCGAGATGTCGTCTAAGCACATATGGCTAGAGGGAGGCAATGTAGTTCTTGACATACATACTTGGGGAAAGTACTAGCATTTCACCGAAAAACACCACTAAAACTGAATTAAGTTTATACCGCTACGTTCACATAAAAATAATATCTATAACATTTTGAGAGCAAGGGAAGAACAACACATTTATAATTTGACATTGCTATGTTAAAATGAACTGACGTACCACAGCATGCTGCCCCAGAACATTTTAAAAATAGCTTGTTTTGAAGTACTGTGACTGCAATGACACTGTTTGAATACTTTATTTATTAATTGTTTTGAAGGACCACACTGTATCAGAATTCATCACTGTTTTCACCAGATCTGGACAACCCCAGTGGTTTAGCTGTGGACTATGTGTCTGGTAATATGTACTTTAGCACCACCAGGGAAGGTGTGGGCAGTATATGGGTATCTAGGCTGGACGGCAGGCAAAGACTGAAAGTGGTATATGATAGAAAGCCGATCACATCACTAGCTATCCATCCAAATAAAGGGTACGTTTTAAATGGTATTATTATTATTATTATTATTGTTGTTGTTGTTGTTGTTGTTGTTGTTTTTGTTCTCTTGTTCATGTATATGGTTGTTTAAACTGTTTGGACAACCTACATTGTATATTTCCATATATCAGCTCATTACTGTTGTCAACAATTGTGATGTATTATTTGAAATTCCAAGTTATATAATTTCAGGTATTGGAACTTGGAATGAAATACATAATAGCAATCTGCGGAAGAGATAAATTTGATGATTGATGTAGCTGTTTATTTTGCTCTCCCAATACCAATGTTCCGTTTCAATAAAAATCATTTACAAATCAGATTCACTTCACTGTGGGTTTTCAGTAAAATCTTCTGGACGGAGGATGGCACCAATGCCCAGGTCGTATTTGTTGCCAATATGGACGGCAGCAATGTCCAGCAGTTTGTTCCCGACAGCCTGACCCACGTCGATTCTGCCTTCAAACTCTACAGTAAGAATTATACGTAGATCTTAGATGATGTCCTTCTGTGTCGTATCTCTAATGGTTGTGAAGCCTTCAGCTTTTTTAATGAGGGGGTATCTGATTAGCGTCAATTGTTCTCGGAAAACAGGTTTTCTACCTCCCCGCACCACCTTGTAGAGCAGGGATCCATGTATGTTGTCAAATTGTAATGGTTATAGACTTTCAAAACATTGAGAATTTAATGTTCTATTTATTCAAGCATCATGCGGCACTGTAACTTAAAGAAGCATTACATATACACTCTTTATTTGCACTAGGCACTGAAATAAACACACATCTATCAACTTAAATGATCAAAGCAATGTAACAGAT